CCTTACAGTGGTCACAGCGTATATTGAAGCACAACCAAAATGGCCTGTAATTACTGCCTCTATACCAATACCAATGCTTTTAAGCCCGTTTAAAGTATCAGTTGTATTGTCAAATAATTCTTTTATAGCAGTTGCAGATATAAGATTCCTTTGAGTAAAAAACTATTTCAAAATACAATTTGTCAAAAACTGTTTATTGTCATATCTAAGTATCTTGTAAAGTTTTCCAACACTGTTCGTAATTTTCATTTGTAATAGGAATGTGACGCGATAACTTTCAGCTTCACCTGTCAAATAGCCTTTCAAATAATGAAGCTTCTGTACATCTTCCATAGAACTCTTATGAATGAGTGATATAAATAAATCCCTGAAACTCATCCATTCGGAATTTTATCCTGAAAAGGTTGGATCTTAGGCAATTTTACATTAGAAGATGACATTATAGGCTTATCATATACAATTCCAGGTTATTTCAAAAGTTGGTCGAATTTTTCTTTCATTTCCGCAATAAAATCAATATAAAACATTTCTGTTTCTTGAAAATGATCATTTTCAATGTAGTCTGACGCTGATACATCTTGGTTGCGTTTGATGATTGCAGAATGTTTGCTTAAATATATTACAATCTGTTAATCGTTCTTTAGGACTTTTCTTATAATTTATTTAGCTTTACTCAACTGATTTATAAATTCTGTCTGAAGTTTTATGAATTCCATGTATCAAATCATATTGATTGTGGGTTATAATTTTTCAATAAAGTCGATGATATTTGCTTCGGAATTTTTCTAAGTGAATGTATTTTTCTCACCTTTTATGACGTGCTGCAGCTATATTAATAGTATAGTTGTAGCACGAATGGGTCGGACTGCGCCCTCTTCTCCCAAAACTATGCCCTCTTCTCCCAAAAGAGGGTCGCCTCCGATCCGGCAAAGAGGCTCAATCAGCCAATTGCCAGTCCCTTAAGTGGAGTTTAGTGGGTATCACTTAGGTTACCCGTAGGTAGTCACAGTGAGTCCCACATAACCACGATAGACCGGCTGTCGTGATATGCATAAAGCATTTTCCACTTCCTCGCGTATCGGGGTAGCCCTTTCCAATTGCTTCTGGGCGCAAAAATAAACGAATGGGTCGGTTCGACTAGGGAAGGACCACGCTCTCACAGAAGACCAGTGTAAAATAGTAGCTTAATGCTGCTGTGTTTCGTATGGTAAGTGTAAAGAACCGGAGACCCATTTTACTGGAAAAGAGGCATTCTATCTTAGTCCTCACGGCTGACAACGCATCTGCATTTTAATTCGCAAACGAATATAGCTGTAGATGTCTATGGGCCACAGCCACCACTTACCATCAGGTGGACTGTGTGCTCGTTTGTCACCCTTATTCTATAGAAAAAAACCTTTGTTAAAAATTTGGCATAGGTTCCCCGTATGTTCAAAATTTCTTAATCTATTCTAAGTCCACTACACTTACGCCTGCCACGTCGCATTTGGGTACTTCTCACACTCCAAAGATCGTCTCGTGGATGTTCGTGTTCCGTCGTTATCAGCGTTGTCTTCCAATTTTGTAAATGGAGAAGTATCCCTCTTTGACATTCCGACGTCGTGTCCCGTAGTCGCAAAAATGATGTAACACAAGTCAACCTTACCCTTAAGTATCCGGCTCGAAGATCCAAGGTTCATTTTCCAGAACTTTCCCAACACCGTAACCCCGTGGTTAGTAAATAAAACTTCTTGACATATGGCATGTAACGAACATCTGTATCTGAAAATTGTAAGCTATATAATGCTCTATGAGGCAAACCATACCGTGATATAGTATATATATTACAAGTGATATCATCTAGTGAATAAATATTAAATGTAAGAAAAGGAACAACCTAGAAATAATTATTTAACAAAACCTTACCCACAAGTACAGACGAAATTAATAAATTATACATAAAAATAAATAAACAAATTTATTTTACATATTTTCTTCAAACTATCTTCATGTCTTTAACAGTGTCAAATTAACGATGCAGTACTTTATACTAAACTCGCACCATCATGAGTGGATTCGGCTTATTTTTTTATTACTTGTAGGTTTGAGAGTGTTGCGAGACAATCGTAAGTAATCTTATCTATAAATTGTTGTATAACTGTATTAATTTGTTAAAGTATTATTTAGCTGTTAAGTTAATTACAAGTATACAGGTTGTTTGGAAGATGGGTGCAGAGCCTGAAGGGGATGATACCTTAAACCAATATGAACATATTAATCTAAACTTGTCTTAGACGAAGTCTGGTCCTTTTTTATTTAATTACTTCTTTCTTTTTTCAACCAAATAGTCCAGACCACATCCCACATATCACATAATAAAAAGTAAAAATCACAGAGGATACGAAGATAGCAATAGCTTACTATAAATAGAGATAAAACACTCTGTTCCACCCAAGGTTAACTGGTAGATATTGCCATATAGCATTGGGCCCAGCTTTTACGCCGTGTTGCCAGCTTTTAGGTGTAATAAAACATAAATAATTTAAACAATCTAACATATTATGTGAGTGACGGTTGGTGCGAGTTACTAAACTTAGTCGTTCTCCCTTGATATTTTTTTAAATGGGTCTTTACCCGTGAAATTGCCGTTCTGCAGTACTGGCAATTTCAAATTAAAATAATTTTAGTTTGGCCAACTATTATTTATTCTGTGGTTTGACCAAGAATTCTAATTTCAATTTAATTTAATTTTGAATAAAACTACTTTTACAGATTCTATCGCGTTTAATTAAATTATTTCTTTTATAAATTCCCGCCTTTTCGGGTGCTTTACAGCACCCATGGTCACGTGGGACTGAGGTGATTGACGTCCCGATGTCAGAGTTTACCCGGAGTGCCTTCAGCTTTTTTAATTAATAATTTTGGTCCGATCTACGCAGAATGAACTGTGTCTTGAAGTCTTGCAGTGGTATGCTTGGGTTTAGTTTTCATTTTATTAATTACAGAATCTCAAGCAGGTGGTAGTACCCAGCCTCCCTCTCTATTGAAATTAGGATGTTTTTTTAATTTCAATAGCCTCACGTATCATCCTTGGCAGGAATCGATGTTCTTTCGGGAGAATTTGTGGTTTATTAAATCTAATAAAATAAGTTAAACGAAACAATAATAATACACCTGGTTACTGGCTACTGTAGTCCAAGGAAAATAAACTTTCCATGGCCTGCAGTGCAAGGTGAGTTGTGCCATCACCTTATGGTTGTAATATGTCGACATCTCACTCCCAGTTTCTTTAAGAATATGGTTTTATGCAAGAAGTCGTGAAGCGCCACTGTCACTTTGTGCGACTAGATGGTGTCTAGGGGGCTGGGGAGAGTGAAAGGGAAAGTATACTGCCGGAGCTAAGCACCGGAAGGAAGTACTGCTATAACGTAAGGTCTTGAGGTGACCCGTGCGTTATTCCCGCTCGCAATTATATTATAAAGAAATATAAGAGCTCCAGCTCCGGTAAAGATCTCCAGCTTCACTACCTTAACTAGAAGAAGCCTGTATGGGCTATCGCCGTCAGGACTGTGGTAGAGTGCTAAATTTTTGTATTTTCTGTAGGTCTAGCAAGAGCACCGTGCGGTTTTAGCCACTAGGAGTCCGACATAACCAGTATATCCCCCCGCGGCAGACAGGTATCCATGTAGATTCCCCAGTATACAAAAAAGGTTGGATAATTCAAATATTGGAATTTTTCAAAGTAATGACGCCCAATTGGGAGCATTAACAGCCATATTACTATTATGGATAATAGTTGAACATAATGGGTGTTTTAACAACTCTCAACGACCCTATTACCGATTCATTATGCAATTAATTCAGTCGCATATCAATTTTCTTTCGTGATATAAATGCTTTAAAGGTCAGTTTTTAAAACATGTTTCAACAACATTTTTTTATAAGGTTTCCAATTGCATTTTTATCAGACAATCCAATCTTTTTACCGAACAAAGTCAATTCTTTGGAGCGTATCTACGTATATTTTTATGTACCTATGTAACATGTTTTTCTATTCCTTTGTGACCTCCTGCAGCTGTGCTTGGTTTTGCAAAGCTTGATAAAATTTGAAGCCACGCAAACGCGCACCAACTGTATTGTTCTAATTTGAAAAATAAAAAAAGCCAGTTTAGTTACATAACGTGAGGCATTTCATCTTAGTCCTCAGGAGCTTCTTATGGGGTTCTTTGAGTTAGCCATAGGAATTAGCTGCAGTAGTAATTTACCATCAGGTTAAACAGAAATCTGTCTAGATTTTCATAATATGTAATCAAAATTCAAATTCCAATAGCTATTTTATTATTTGTCAAATGCTACTTAAATTTTCTACCATTCGTTTAAATCGATTCTTATAAATATACGGGACGAAAAGTCCTCCCAATAAAACGTCATCATCTTATGGAAGCGAACAAATTTTTAAGCACAACACGCAGGCAGTTTGTAAATCTAAGATACACCTCTCGATACCGAACTTTATTTTTTTTTAATTTCTTTTATTTCTTATATAATAAGAATAACTCCCGAAACAAAAAGAGAATATGGTCTTCGAACGGGAATTTTCTTGATTCATAGCTAAGAACACTCTCCATCAAGTTACCTTTCAAACACAAAAAACTAAATTTAAGTCGGTTCATACGTTTGGGACCTACATATACACATATACACAGATACACACATTAAACATATAACACCCCTCTTTCGTCGGAGATTAAAAACAGTTTTTTAAATCTACAATAAAGTTGACCAGAAACATTAACTTGTGAAATGTATAACCTATGCTATTCTGCCTGTCTTAGATAGTGAAATTTTACTTATCTTTAAATATGTTTTATTAATACTTAAAATATAATACATCTGCTACTATTAATACGCAATATAATATTTTTTTATCATTTAAATTTTAAAAATGTTACTTAACTCTGTCAATTTATCTTGCATAAAAACAGTGACACCGTGAAACACATCACTGGTACTAAAGCGACATGTCAAAAACAATGCTTGTTTGCGTTCTAGTGTTACTAACATTTTCCTTTATAAAATGCAAAAAACCAAAACCAAACGTTGCTACAACAAAAGATATTTCATCTACCACTACTGTGACTCCAACGTCTAAAGAGCAGGATGAAAGAAATATTATATATATGACGGACATTATGAAGGACTGTAACGAGACCTTTCGAATAGAAATGTGTAAGTACCAAAAGTTAATTAAGAAACATTTAACACTAATCATATAAAGTACCGTATCTGTAAATATAAGCACTATTGCTTAGGTACGTAACAGGGACGCGTGTGAAACTGTGATTAACAATGTGCTAGCTAATCCGCCATTACTTAAAATTACCACAAACGGCCCTCTACTTTTGACCCTTTTTAATGCAACCTTATACCTAACACTATTCCACAGAGTCAGTAATTATTCATTCTTGGGGCAATGTATACGCTATTAGAACAGTCCCAGAAAATATACAACGTCTCTCTATTACTAAGTTTAAATTTAATTCAAATTTAATTAAACAAAAACTGTAAAAAAGGGTTATTATAATATAAATGAATACATGGTTGATAATAACCCCTGGGAATGAGGTGGTCGTTTTCAAATTGTTTCTAAAATAAATTTTGTAAATAGTTTGTAACCATTTACTTATACTGTAAAATTTATTTTAAAATAGTACTTTATTGTTCTTACTAAGACAGAGGGTTTTTTTCCGAACCAGTGGTAAAGTAAAAAAAATACTTTCTATTCTACTGTCCTGTGGCCCACATATGGTATTATAAAATAATAGATTAAACTTGAATATAATATGTATTTGTCTACATAACATACAGTACTACTCCTTGCGATATTCATGGTGCCAAATATCATCATCATCATCATCATCATCATTACAGCCCTTCACAAGTCCACTGCTGAACATAGGCCTCCCCCAAAGAATGCCACAAAGCACGGTCCTGAGCCACCTGCATCCATCGACTTCCTGCATATCTTACCAGGTCGTCACTCCATCTAGTGGGGGGACGCCCTACACTTCGCCTGCCGGTACGAGGCTGCCACTCGAGAACCTTTCTTCCCCATCGGTTGTCGGTTCTTCGAGCTATATGGCCGGCCCATTGCCACTTCAGCTTACTAATCCGTTGGGCTATGTCGGTCACTCTAGTTCTACTGCGGATATCCTCATTTCTGAGTTTATCACGCAGAGAAACTCCGAGCATAGCCCTCTCCATAGCTCGCTGAGCGACCTTGAGCTTCCTCATCCGGCCAGCAGTGAAGGACCACGTCTCAGTTCCGTATGTCATCACTGGCAACACGCACTGGGTGTACAGTCTCGTTTTCAAGTTTTGAGGTATACCTGACGAGAAGATGTGCCGTAATTTCCCGAACGCTGCCCAACCGAGTTGAATCCGTCGATTGACCTCTCGGTCGAAGTTGGACTTACCTAGTCGGACTATTTGTCCCAGGTAAACATACTCGTCAACAACTTCGAGCTTAGTGTTCCCAACAACTACCGGCATAGGTGTGACATGGACATTAAACATGATCTTTGTTTTGTCCATGTTCATCTTAAGACCTATCCGTTGGGAAACACTATTGAGGTCATTGAGCATAGTGCTTAGGTCCTCCAGCGATTCTGCCATAAGGACTATATCGTCGGCAAATCGAAGGTGAGTGATGTACTCGCCATTGATGTTGATACCGTATCCTTTCCAGTCCAGAAGCTTGAAAACATCTTCCAACGCAGCGGTAAAGAGTTTCGGGGATATGACGTCACCCTGTCTTACACCTCTCTGCAATTGGATAGGTTTCGTACTCTGGTTCTGTACTCGGATAGCCATCGTAGCCCTACTGTACAAGCACTTCAACACTTCGATATACCGACAGTCAACTTGGCATCGCTGAAGGGACTGCAGCACCGCCCAAATTTCGACGGAATCAAAGGCTTTCTCATAGTCCACATACGCCAGACATAGTGGCAAATTGTACTCCTCGGACTTCTGTACAATTTGCCGAAGGGTATGTATGTGGTCTATGGTGCTAAAGCCTTTTCGGAAACCGGCTTGTTCGGGAGGCTGGAAGTCGTCAAGTCTGCGCGCGAGACGATTCGTAATGACTCTCGAAAACAGCACGTAGACGCGGCTCAGAAGGGAAATCGGTCTGTAGTTCTTCAAGAGAGCGTTGTCGCCTTTCTTGAAGAACAAGACCACCGCACTTCTGCTCCACGCCTCCGGTGTAATGCCACCATGGAGGACGGAATTAAAGAGCTTCTGAAGGACTTCAAGTACCGGTTTTCCACCCGCTTTCAGAAGCTCCGCTGTAATTCCATCCTCGCCTGGGGCCTTGCCGTTTTTTAGGTGCTGGAGAGCCATTCTAATCTCGCTCAGACTGACGTCCGGGATATCATCGGAATAATGTCGGATAAGACTCGCTCTTGGATCGTTACTCACACTTGGGTACGGCTCCAACGATGACGTGTACAGCTGCCCATAGAACCTCTCAATCTCACTCAAAATCTCAGGTACCTCGGAAACGATGCTGCCACATTCTGTCTTCAGCTTTGACAGTTGGCGCTTTCTGGCAGACAGATCTCTGGCAAAGACTTTGGAGCCTCGGTTCCGCTCGATCGCTTCTTCAATACGAGCTGTATTGAATTTGCGTAAGTCCCGCCGCATGCATTTGGAGATCTGTCTGTTCAGTTGCCTGTATGCTGTTAAATCTGTTGAAGAATGTAGCTTCATCTCCCGTCTAACAGCCATGAGATTAAGAGTGTGATCGGAGAGTTTTTGTGTTCTTCTGCGGCGGGTCTTGCAGAACTTAGCTCCGACCGCATGGACAGTTTCCACGAGCTTGTCATTCAAATCGTCCACTTCATTGCAGTCTTCTAGACACTGAAAACGGTTTTGTAACTCGAGCTGAAAGGTTTCGGGACTTTGGATTAGAGCACGAGGGGGACGGAGCGTTGACTTCATTAGACGAGACCTCTCCAACTTAACGTTTAGGTTCAGTGTGCCTCTAACCATTCGGTGATCGCTGCCGGTTTTCACCCTCGCGATCACTGAGACATCACTGAACAGTTGTCGTCTGGTCGTCATAATGAAGTCAATCTCATTTTTTGTCGAACCGTCGGGGCTCGACCAGGTCCACTTCCTGTGGGGCCGCTTCTGGAAGAAAGAGTTCATCATAAAGAGTCCCTCTTTCTCCATGAAGTCGGCCAGCTGCTGGCCCCTTGGGTTCCGTTGCCCTATTCCAAATTTCCCTACTTTCAGCTCACCGTTCTCTCTTGTGCCTAGTTTTGCATTGAAGTCTCCCATTAACACCGTATATTGGGTTTTGGAGGAATGCATGGCTCTAGAAATATCCTCATACATTTCCTCCACCTCCTGATCGGGGTGTGCCGAGGTTGGTGCGTAAACCTGTATGACCTTCAGCGAATACCGTTTGGTGATTCTGAGTATAAGGTACGCAACCCTCGTCGACACACTCTCAATCTTTACAACGTTGTTAACGAGAGACTTGTGGACGATAAATACGACACCTCCTTGGGACAGATGGTCGCCCTCCCGGTAATAGAGCAAGTTGCCGGATTCGAGGATTACCGTGTCCTCCCCCTCTCTTCGGACTTCGGATAATCCTATAATATGCCAGCGTAACTTGTCTATCTCTTCTTCCAGCTCCACAATCTTCTCGTCAGTCCTCAGGGTGCGGAGATTCTTAGCACCCCCTGCCCCGCCGTTACCATGGTCGTGGTGCCAAATATGCTGCCCGCTTTTCCTTCCTGAACGGCTAGGCTTAGCTTTTAGCGAGAAAAGAACTAACCCTCTTTTCATCAATCAGTCGCAGATATTCCTAGGTTTCCTTTCAAAATTTCACTGAGTGTGGACCTCACGGACCGATAGTTACTATAGAAAATGGCACAGATATACAGCAATTTTTTAGATTGATGATTTGCGCCATATATTTTCTTAATCATTTGCTAATATGCAGCGAAAGCGGAACGCCATGGAGTATGCATAGACATTTTCCCATGTAATAAGTCTCTGGACGATGCTTAATAATTATAACGTAAAGTAACCCTAACTTTTCCACATGTGCACTCAAACTGCCTTTTCTGACACTGCCAGGTCGAATAACAGATGTAGGTACCTATGGCATACGCCAAAGATAGAGCATTTTATTTAATTATTCAAGTCATATACATATTTTAAATTTTTGGAATCATTCAAATGGAATCGCATAAGAAATTGCTTCCTTCGAAAATTATTCTTAAAATGGAAGCGTCTCTACTTTTTTTTTATAGGAGAGGGAGCAAACGAGCATGCGGCTCACCTGATGGTAAGTGACTACCGCCGCCCATGAACAACTGCAACACCAGGGGAATCGCAGATGCGTTGCCGGCCTTTTAAAAAGGAGTACGCTCTTTTCTTGAAGGTCCCTAAGTCGTATCGGTCCGGAAAAATCGCTGATGGTAATCGATTCCACAAGGAGGTCGTGCGAGGAAGAAAACATCTTCTAAATCGCACAGTGGTGGACCGCCAATCATCCAGATGGTGTGGATGGTATCGGGAGTTCTGCCGCGATGTGCGTTCGCGAAATTTGGCGGCTGGGATTAATCCGAACAATTCCTCAGAGCACTCCCCATGGTAGATGCGAAAGAAAATGCAAAGGGATGCAACATCTCTTCGCAGTGCCAATGAATCGGGCCGATCGGAAAGGGCTCGGTCGTCGACGATTCGAGCCGCTCTGCGTTGGATGCAGTCAAGTGGAAGGAGCTGGCACTGGGGAGCCCCTGCCCAGAGATGGGAACAGTATTCCATGTGAGGCCGAACTTGCGCCTTGTAAAGTTGCAGGCGGTGTGCCGGCATGAAATACTGTCCCGCTCTGCTGAGCACGCCAAGCTTTTTAGAGGCCAATTTGGCCTTCCCTTCCAAGTGACCACGAAACTGCACGTCACTCGATATGTCGACTCCGAGGATACCGATACTGGCTGAGGCAAGAAGGAGAGTGCCTTGAAACTGAGGAGCTACGACAAAGGGGTTCTTTTTAGCGGTAAACACGCAAACTTGTGTCTTCTGAGGATTAAACTGGACTAGATTTAGTCGCCCCCAATCCGAGACTTTGTTCAGCAAAGACTCGACTTCAGACACAAGTTTGTTCCGGTACTCAGCGACGTTTTCCCGAGAAATATTGGCACGGCCGGTGTATAGAGCATCACCAGTGCTGTCATCCGCATAGCAATGAATGTTACCAGTTAGCAACATATCATTGATATGCAGAAGAAACAGCGTTGGTGATAGCACACAGCCTTGTGGAACACCAGCGTTAATAGGCTTGTAGTCAAAACATGCACAGCGTTAATAGGCTTGTAGTCAGAGCATGCACCGTCTACAACGACCTTGATGCTCCGATCTGCAAGGAAGCTGGTGATCCAATTGCACTATTTCTCGAGAAGCCCATAGGAAGGGAGCTTCGAAAGAAGCGCTTTGTGCCAAACCCGATCGAAGGCCTTCGCAATGTCCAGACTAACGGCCAACGCCTCCCCCTTGGACTCTACAGCCTCCGCCCATCTATGGGTCAGGTAGACCAGAAGATCACCAGCTGATCGACCCCGACGAAAACCGTAATGGCGGTCACTAATCAACTGGTGATCCTCAAGGTACCGGATGAGCTGGTAGTTAATAATGGATTCCATTATTTTGGAGAACAAGGAGGTGATCGCGATAGGCCTATAGTTGGATGGGTCTGAGCGGTCGCCTTTTTTAGGGATCGAGTGGACAAAAGCTGTCTTCCATGAATTCGGAACTACGCCTTGGGAGTAGGAGTACCGGAAAAGACGCGTTAGGACCGGTGCCAACTCCGGAGCACACGGATGATAATATAATATCCAAAAACAGAGTTCTATTCTTTTTTTTCAAAATTGTACGTTTATTTTGTGATTGTATTATTTTAACGAAAAACTACATTAAATTATTAAGTAGGTATGCACTCAACCGATTGGGTCGATCGTTCTTTTTTCCTCTTCTTTTCCATTTTTACGTATTTTCTGTAGCGTGTAGTTTCTTCCCAGCCTGTAAGCAAAAAAAAAAAACAGCAAAAAGTTAAAAAATTAATTTGTAGTCCAAGCTTTTTATTGAATATCTCGGACACAGATATTTAGATATTTATGTATTTTAAACATTTTATTTTAGTGGTTTCATTCTAGTGAATTCGAATAAGGAGACATTTTTCGAGAACAAAAAGAATAAAAGCAAAGTTGCAGCCTATTTACGTCCGACTGCTGGGCACAGGCCTCCTCTCATTTCTGAGAAGGTTTTAGGGCAAGAAGATGTCAGCCGCGCTGCCCCAATGCGTATTGGCGAACTTCACATGTCTTCCAAATATTTTTTTCTTATTTCTCAGACATGCAGGTTTCCTCACGATGTTTTTCTTCACCGCCGAGCACGTGGTAAATCAGCACTTAAAATTGCAATTAACAATTTCATTGGTGCCGGCGAGGATCGAACCCGGGTTACAGGAGTACTGTGAAGCTAGCTGTGAGCGCTAACCATCTGAGCTACCACGGCTCTAAAAAAAAATACATTTAAATATTTAAAATTCTGTTTTAGCGTATCTAGAGCAGCTGAACAACAGTGGAAGTTTTCCCGATGAAACTGACCGAACACCTAAGGTATGAATTTATTCATTCCAAATCGATCGGCGAACTGCACATTTGCAGTAGCAAGTTGATAGTTATAAAGTCAATATCAAATAGAAATCACGTTAATCATCAATCTCAAATATAATAATAGAACAGAATAGAATCATTTTTATTTAATATAGATTACAAAAATAGTTATTGAAAGTCATATCATTTAATTAAAAATGAAATCACGTTTAGCACCTAGCTAAAGTATCGGTAACTAGAAACATGTACAAGAAGAAACTATATTTGCTTACTTTATTAACTGAAAAAAAAAATATAATTGCAAGCACTTAACTGATTGTCTTATAATTTTTTTTAATTCCTCCACGATAAAATCTAGTATATTTTTCCCTTTTTTGGGCCTACCACGTACAATTAAATACAACGTCTAATGTATATCAATATCTTTAATATTTAGTAAAGTAATTATGTACTTTCAAAAGAGGACTTCGTAGTCCAAATCACCTAATAGAACAATATTATCATTAATTTGATTATTTTACACAATTTTGAAATCATAGTGCTACATTCGATGCGTGCTGGAGACGAGCGGTGTCGCTACAGAAGACGGTCAATTCGACCCTGCTCTGGCGGCTCTTTTAGTTGCAGATGTTAGAGGCGGTGGCGACACAAATGAACTTGAAGAGTTTGCAACTAGGTGTTCGGAGAGAAGTAAGTTGTAGATTTAACCATCGTCATTTAAGACCTTTATAAGCTAGTGTTAAATATGAACTTTAGTCATAGATGACTTATTTAGACTTATTCATGTTTGCAACAGTTTAACACGGTTACTAAAAGTTTACAATAAAAAAAAATTTGTTTTATGTGGATAAATCAGGCATAGCTCTTGAATTTGTCCAGCCAGAGTTAATACTTAATCTTATTTAAAATTATATCACGGTATGTAACTTTACGCTGTTAAGGTATTTTTTTCTTTACAGAAGAAACTTGTAAATGCGAGAGGTCATACCAATTCATCAAGTGTTTAATGGAAAAGGAAGTAGAAAAGTTTGAGAAATCCAAATAGTTCCATTCCATTGAACTAGTGCGAAATGTATCAAACTATACTGTATGAATTTATTTACTCTGTAAAATTTGTCAATGAAAATTTAAACTTAATAAAGAGCATCACAAAATGTTTTTTTATTTCTCGTTCCATACTCATATGTTGTTTTGATACGAAATGAATCGCCACAAAAGTCTTATGGCTTCCGACAGATAGCGGTATAACGATTTCTTTTACTCCAGACATAAAACCCAGCCCGGCAACAGGCAACAGCGTCAAAACGGTACGTCTGAATACTGTTATTTCTCTATCTACCCTACAAGCACTACGATTAATACAAGTGATGCCTATAACGAGAGCAGCCATGTCCAGGAGTGCAATTTTACGTGCCGATGATGAACTTATTTTTTTTATAGAATAAGTGTGACAAACGGGCATACAGTCCACCTGATGGTATGTGGATGCTGTGGCTCATAGACGTCTACATTAATCCACGATGAAGTATCAAAATGCAGATGCGTCGTCACCCCTGAGGACTGAGATGGAATACCTCGTTTCCAGTAAAAAGGGTCTTCGGTTCTCTACACTCACCATACCAAACACAGCAGCCTTAAGTTGCTATTTTACGCTGGTGATCTGTGAGAGTGTGGTTCGAGCCGACCCATTCGTGCTACAACTAATATTATTATTTATGTTCGATTGATATTTTCATTACCTGTACAGAAACATCCCCGAAACGTCATGGATGGCTATCAAAGGATAACAATAAGACAAAAAATAAAGTAGAAAAATATTTTATTGACTTTTTCACTGTAAATACATAGAAGACTAGTATAAAATTAATAAAAATACAAAATTAATAAGATCTATAGATGAAACACTCCGATAATAAAAAAAAATTTTAACCTTTGTTATACAATTATCTTACGAAGACTTTTTGCCTCCATCTCCGAAGTAGTTCTGCCATACTCCAGACAGCCAACCGGATTGAGGTTCCCTGTGAATTTAACATATTAATAAGCAATGGTAAATTCATCAGTAAAAAAACACGTTCAATACATCTATATCGATAAATAAAATTGAAGTGTGTCTCTAATGGCTGTTTTCTGCCGACTTCCAAAAAGAAGACGGTACTCAATTCGACTGTATGTTTTTTATGTGTGTTACCTCATACCTTTTTACAAAGTGCACCGATTTCGATGATTCTTTTTTTATATGAAAGCTGATACTTCTCGTGTGGTCCCATATCAATTTTGAAAAAATTGATCAAGGTCAGACCAATAGTTTTTGAGTTATTCTTAATAACTTATATTGAAGTCAGCTGTACAAAATTTTGAATTTTAAATTATTGACATTTTTGTCCGCTTGACAGTCTACTTGAATGATTTTCTTTAAATAAGTGGTATTGAGCCATTTGGCTCAGAACCGTGCTTTGTGGCATTCTTTGGGGGAGGCCTATGTTCAGCAGTGGACTTGTGAAGGGCTGTAATGATGAATGATGATGAAGTGGTATTGATTATTTTAAATGTAAGGAACATCACATTAATAGATTTACCCAGGCGAAGCCAGGGCGAGTCGCTAGTTAGAAATATATATGTGGTCGTGTAAGTGCCAACCCGGTTTAAGTTTTCTCTTAACTTCACTACCCCGTATCGTCCCGTGCGTGGTGTACGAGGCGACAAAGGGAAATGATACATGAAATGGGTAGGAATATCTTCCTGATAACAGCTTTAATGATAAAAAGCTACGGTTGCCTACCCCAAGCGTGGTACCTATAGCAAAATCTATCGCTGTGAGGCAAGCAAGATGATGGCCTATGTTCAGCAGTCTTATAATAGGCTAATCAAATTTAATTATGTGTTTAGTAGGGTAGCAGCTAAACGTTTAGCTACGACGTTGCTGGCCGCGGGTTCATAACCTGTATGGAACAAGTGTTTGTACTCGTATCACCTAAAGTTACGTGGTAGAGCCATGCTGCAGCTATATTAGTAGTATAATCGTAGCACGAATGGGCCAGTTCGACCGGTGAAGGACGACACTCTCACAGAATACCAGCGTAAAATAATAGCTTAACCCTGCTGGGTTTCGTATGTTGAGTGTAGGGAACCGAATTCCTTTGATTCTGGAACCGAGGCATTCCATCTTTTTCCTCACGGGTGACAACGCATCTTCATTTTGATTCGTAATCGAATATATATGTAGATGTCTATGGGCCACAGCAACCACTTACCATCAGGTGGACTGTGTGCTCGTTTGTCACCCTTATCCCATTTTAAAAACTGACTACTCACCTACTAAAAATTATTAGTTGTCTGAATGTTTAGTCGTGTGCAATTATCATAAATACTGTTTAATAGTTGTAGTACCTACTAAAGACTAAGAGGGCTGGTTCTTTTCTCGTCTAAAAGCAAGTAAAGCCATTCAGCGAGAAAACACAGACAACGTTCTTGACATTATACCGTGAAGAGTTGAACTGTGTGATAATAATTTTAATATTTAGTTTTCTTTTTACTTTATTACTTTTTATAATAATAATAATAACAATGCTATACAATACTTACTGTTTTTTACAATTGTACATATTGTTGACCTTCCTCACGTCTCCTCGGCTGAGTCCTTCTCTTTGTCCTAGTTTTACACCTCCAACCTACATAAATTAAATATTAAAATTCAGGTAAAGATCAGAGAAATGTTATCATATAATTTTAAAGAATTGGCCGGAGCTCAAGGTCGCTCAGCGAGCTATGGAGAGGGCTATGCTCGGAGTTTCTCTGCGTGATAAACTTAGAAATGAAGATATCCGCAGTAGAACATAACAATAGAACATAGACACAGCCCAACGGATTAGTAAGCTGAAGTGGCAATGGGCCGGCCATATAACTCGAAGAACCGACAACCGATGGAGAAAAAAGGTTCTCGAGTGACAGATTCATACCGGCAGGCGAAGTGTAGGGCGTCCCCCCACTAGATGGAGTGACGACCTGGTAATATATGCAGGAAGTTGATGGATGCAGGTGGCTTAGGACCGTGCTTTGTGGCATTCCTTAGGGGAGGCCTATGTTCAGCAGTAGACTTGTGAAGGGCTGTAATGATGATGATGATAGAATTATTATTTAGGGCCGTGGAAGCTTAAGTACTACAGAAGCTTAAGTACTTTGTTTGTAAAGAGCAACATTGCCTCATATTTTTCATAGTTGCCACGCTTGGCAGGCGGTTGGCAACCACAGTTTTAATCATTTGTAATTAAGAAGATGAGTTGCTTCATTTCCCTTCATCGCCTGTTACGACACCCACGGGATGTTATGTGATACTAAACGGCTCATAGCTTCGTGGAGCACGGCTCTTAGTGATGGCCACAGAGCCTAGTGATCATAATACTTAGCAATTCTCTTGTGTTGAATAAAACTATTTTTTTACGGATTTTATCTTATATTCCCGACGTTTCGGTTGCTTTCCAGCAACCATGGTCACGGGGGACTCGATTGCTGGAAAGCAACCGAAACGTCGGGAATATAAAATAAGTTAATTAAACGCGATAAAATCCGTAAAAAAGTAGTTTTATTCAACGTGTAGTGTTCGCGTAAATATAAGAAATCATTATGTAAATTCTCCTGTGTTTGCAGATACGTGTTTACTTCTGAGTACTAAAAAAAATATCTTATACCCAGAATAATACCTACCGTGTCTTTGGTCTTCAAACCGGAATACATACAGTGCATAGTTACTAATCTAAATGAACTACGTAGTAAAAAGGAAGCCCTTCCACCTTGTCGACAGAGGAAAGTGTACGCTCTCCATAATAATGCCGAGAAATAGCACCATTGTGCTGCTGTATGGTGTATGATGGCGAGAGCAGGAGACTCTGTACTGGTAACGAAGCATTCCATATTAGTCAGGGGTGACAAAAATGCATTTTTGTTCTTAATCAAAGATAGATGTCTTTCTTTGCATCATACCCATGGGGGCAGGTTTGCTTCTCGCCGGATGATCCCAGTGCTGTTGCTGACTCTGTCACTGATGTGCTACAGGGAATGGAACTATTTATTCCATCATATGTGGTACCCACCGGAGGCAGTTCTCAGCCTTGGTTTGGTCGCTCCTGTAAGACTGCATTACGCAGTATGCAGGAGTGTTATCAAGCCTGGGCTGAGGCTTCGGCGATTCGGGATGAAAACACCAGCATGCTTAAAAAGAAGTATAACTTCGCCTCCAGGTCCTTCAAAAGAGTTATTGCCAAGGCAAAGTTATTATTGCCAAGAGATCTATGGGTTATAATATCCACTTACAGTCAGGTGGGCTGTGGGCTCGTTTGTCACCCCAAATTATTCTTTAAATAAGTAGATTCAAGCCTTTATCTAAAGTATTGTAAAGAATATAAAAAATTACCTTGGGTTCAATAGTTTTCTTTGAGTTTTTGGAAAAGGCATACTCTGAATAATGCATCACACTGTTGTAGTCGTACGACACTCCAAAGCCGCTAGTGTATTCGCTATCTGCCTTCTTGAAGTTGTTCTCTGTACCTGCAATGAAACGACTTCATTATTCCCTTGATTGTTCCTGTTTGCCTGGTATTTGAAAGTAAAGTAAAAGTACATTTACAATCTATATTCGTCCCGCTGCTAGGCGACGCTGGCCGCCTTTCTGAGAGGGTTTTAGTACGTATGTATGGTAACCCCGATGAAAAATAATTTACGTTGTAAGGTTTTAGAGCAAGGAAATGTTCGTCGCACTACCCCAGTATGGCGCACTTCACATGTCTTCGAAATATTTTTTTTAATTTCTCAGACATGCAGATTTCCTCACGATGTTTAAAATGACAATTAACAATTTCATTAACGCCGGCTGGGATCGAATCCGGGTTACTCGTGTATTGTGAAATTCACAGCGAGCGCTTAGCTCCTAACTTACTACGGCTCGCCCTGGTATTTAAAACAAAAATGTAATTGCAAAAAAATGCTGGCAGCATTGCCGCTGCCGGAATAGACGTATTCTGAATTAGAGACAATTTTAGTTACTGAGGTGATTGAGCGTTCAAATGTGGAGAGCGCATTTTATAAAATATTATAGTAACATTCTTATCAACAGCAATTGGATGCGCTAAGCCCAGATTACATTAATTGTATAATGAATGTCTTTAAAAAGTAATAAACAATGAACGACTTCGACTTACCTGTCTAACCTAGTTATATCCGATAACTAACTGACATACCTGGTTTAACGTTATTATAATTAATTGTGACATAGTTGTCCCGCTCATATCGGCTCTGCTCGTGTGTGAAACCAACCGCGTGAAGGAGTTCGTGCAGCACTGTGCCTTTCTTGGAAACGCAGCCAGGAATCTGCAGGTTAACTTCTTGACGGCCGCCTAAATTGATAAATGGCAGAAATACATAAGTGGAATAAAAATGACTGTCACTGAACTTTCCGTATGATGTCTATATTTAAATTGATTTTAATGAAAAGTTAAGTTTACATCCACGTGCATGTGCACGCATACAAACACATGCGCTCACACACATCCATTATCCATTCATTACACCCTATAAAAGTTCATTGCTAAGCATAGGCCTCCCTATATGTTGCCACATAGGAGGGATTTTGCCATAGTTGCCACGCCTGGCAGGCTGGCAACCGCAGTTTTTATTACTTTGACTTATTATCAACAAGATGCTGCTACCCATCTCCTGTTGGTTTCCCTTTATCGCCTCTTACGACACCCACAAAACGCCATTCTTACAAAGCCACTACACTGTGAACATATATATACACACACACACGTGCACATACCGTGCGCGTCCATTTTAAACAGTAAAATCGAAATCCATATCTATGAACCTCAAAATGTAGAGATATGTTTCTTGCTCAGATCTAGACCAGCAAAACATCCATGATGGTTAATTCTGTTTGAAAAATATTTCATTACCACAATCACAAAAAAATACCTGTCCGTCCAACACTAGACCAACAACCAGTGTTTGTGCTTGTTATGGTAATGTAGTCCGATTGTCCATTGTAGGGCACGAAGCGCAGGCATGTCAGGCGATGGTAGTCAGCAATGGCTTTCATAATCATATCTCTTTGATCCTGGTCTGAAATATTTAGAAAGCAGTCATTAAAGTTAAGGCGTCAGTAGCCTAATGTCAGGGCGCGGACCGCGAACTCGAAAGGTCGTGGGTTCGAATCCGCCATTCGACTACTGTCGTGAACCACTTCTAACACAAGCATTTTAAGCTTACCAGAAGTGGTTAAAGGGAATATTAGTAATGTTTAAAACATTACTAGTATTTTTTATAAAAAAAAATTAAAAAAAAATTAAAGTGTAGTACACTCGTAGTATGGAAGACAGTATAATTTTCCACTCAACTGCCAGTGACGCAGTGCTATATATTTCGGGCTCTATATTTCTCGTTCTTAGATTCCTACGTTATGGGATATTCAACCATTTAATTTCAGAACGTTTGAAAGAGACGTGGTCATAGTTTCGAAGACAGAAAACGAAACGGATACAGTTAAGAAGTCGATCAATTTATTGACTAAGTAATTATCTACATCTAAGTAACACACATCGGCATAATCAAACATAGGAAGAATAAGAGATTGAATTAGAAGTTTCTTCGTACAAGATGGTAGGATATTTTTTAATCTGTACAATTGTTTCAAAGTAACACAAACTTTACGGTTAGCTTCCTCAACATGACTGCGCCAAGTAAGAGAACAATTCAAGGTTAATCCTAAGTCCCTAACATGAGAGTTGTATGGAATTACCTCGCCATTATAAATCAGTGGATCTAATGATGTGTGACTAAGCTTATCTAATTGACGTACGCTGCCTAAGACTATAGCTTGGCATTTTCTAGAAATAATAGTGACCGCGAACCTTCTTGACAAATTAAGAATCCAACTAAGATCGGAGTTAATCACAACAGCATTATTAGAGCATAAGCAAGTCGTCAGCACACATATGGTAGGAGGCACGAAAATTGCAAGTAATCATTTTAATAAATATAGAGAAAAGTAATGGGGAGAGAATTCCACCTTGCGGAACACCAGTGGTTAATTCACTCCAATCGGAAACCACACCGTCTACACGAACCACCTACTGGTGACCACGAAGACAATCGCGTGCTAATAAGAAAAAACCTATATAGGACAAGATGGCGATGTGAATATCATGGTCAATGTAATAGATATGGTATTAAAGGCGTTAGAAAAACGATTAAAACTAACACTGTCAACTTTCCGAACAATTATCTAAGTACCTATTTATATTTTACTTATTTAATAGCTTTGTATTTTAAATAATATATATGATAATTCAATACTGGTAAAAATATGACATATTTTTAAATTTCACAAATTACGAAGTTCTGGGCAAGCTACGTGCCCGAGAAATAAAAATAATTTCCAGGGCGTCAAAATGCAGTGAATCAGCGTTATTTTTTATAGGATAGGGTAACAAACGAGCACACAGGTGGACCTGATGGTAAGTAGTTGCTGTGGCCCATAGACATCTACATCTATCCTCGTTTGCGAATCAAAATGAAGATGCGTTGTCTACAGTGAGGACTAAGATGGAATGCCTCTTTTCCAGTAAAAAAGCTCTCCGATTCTCTACACTCACCACACGAACCATAGCACTGTTAAGATGTTATTTTACGCTGGTATTCTGTGAGAGCGTGGTCCTTCCCCGGTCGAGCCGACCCATTCGTGCTACAACTATACTACTAATATAGAAATCTTTTAACAATCTTTCCGGCGTATGTCTAACAGGGTTTGTAAATATGTTATTTCACTTTTTATATACTGGGAGTAACTTTAGAGAAGTATTATATATTTATAAAATAAAAATACAATACATACATTTGTTTTCTTAAAAGATTTTACAAGCACTAAACCAAAACATTTCTATGTGAAATAATAAAGAAAACGACAATGCCATCAAAATATAACTTTTAAAAAAGAACCAAGTCTCGCAACTCAGTTCTTCTACCGTAAAAAGTTGTGAGATCCATGTAATACCAAGTCGGTTAATTTATTCAGTCCCTACTTAAGGGTCCTTCTGTCTTAAGTTATTACGTAATTAGCTAACCTAACAACATCTTATAGTGAAGTAATTGGTATTATATTAAATTAGATTGTTTAGTATGTACGTGTATTTAGTATGTAGTATGAACGTGCCGCTTTTTTGCTCGACTTGGCGGGGACACTCCGTGCCCTCAGATACTGCTGTTAAGATAATAAAATGTGAGAGGTGAATAATGGTTCTCTTTAGGTCCCGATGAAAAAAATTTACGTTGTAATTTGGGAAAGCTCTCACTAAAATGATATTATATGATATCATATCGTATTTATATTCACTAATAATTCAGATTTATATATATTAATTAATCCTACAATAACAACGTTACAAAAAGCGTAAACATGGATACGCTATTATACACAATCCAAATTTTGTCGAAAATTAATCCCATAAATACTCACTGAAATGTCCCCGAATTTCGTACGGAATTATGCCGTTAGGCCAGCGAGAGGTTTGGTCTTTCATTCCATTGCGGGTCCGGATTGAAGGCATTAAAATGTCTCCCTGTCCATAACTTCCCATTTCTTCAGGATTCATTAATGATGACTCACTCCATGTTGCTAGAGCATCACCTTTAACATTTCAATGACAAAAAATTACACGTAAAAATAGCAATTACATCGCATTTCAACAACAACAAGCATCTGAGGCATGCTCTAATTTAAAAATTACCCTCTCTCAGAACTGGACAGGCGAGGTGGCAAACCTAGAGTTGATAGATGCCGTGCTTGGACTAGCTTCGCATTAGTTATGCAGTTTTGGATGGATATTTTACTATCATCATTTAGAAAAATTTAAAGAAATAAACATATTAACATGAAAACATTCATTAATTGATTTATTCATTACAGCCCTTCACAAGTCCACTGCTATTATATGATTTAGATGTACGTGGTATATCAGCACTTAAAACTGCAATTAACAGTTTCATTGATGCCGGCGGAAAACGAACCTAACCCAATTCGCTGTGAAAAGTACAGCGAGCACTTAGTATTTAAGCTTCCACGGCCCTAAATAATAATTATATCATCATCATCATTACAGCCCTTCAGAAGTCTACTGCTGAACATAGGCCTCCCCCAAGGAATGCCACAAAGCACGGTCCCGAGCCACCTGCATCCTGCATGTCTTACCAGGTCGTCACTCCATCTAGTGGGGGGACACCCTACACTTTGCCCGCCGGTATGAGGCTGCCACTCGAGAACCTTTCTTCCCCATCGGTTATCGGTTCTTCGAACTATATGGCCGGCACATTGCCACTTCAGCATACTAATTCTTTAGACTATGTCGGTTACTCAGGTTCTAGTGCGGATATCCTCGTTTTAAGTCTATTACACAGAGAAACGCCAAGCATGGCTCTTTCCATAACTCAATAAGCGACTTTGAGCTTCCTCATACGGCCAGCAGTGAAGGACCAAATCTCAGAGCGACAGGTCATCATTGGCAGCACGCATTGGTTGTACAATCTAGTTTTTATTTTGTTTTGTCCATGTTCAAGTCCTGTCCGTTGGGAGACACTATTGAGATCATTAAGCATAGTGCTTAGGTCCTCCAGCGATTCTGCCATAAGGACTATATCATCGGCAAATCGAAGGTGAGTAATGTACTCGCTATTGACATTAATACCTTATCCTTTCCAGTCCAGTAGCTTAAAAACGTCTTCCAATGCAGCGGTGAAGAGTTTCGGGGATATTACGTCACCCTGTCTTACTCTGTACTTACTGTACTTACTCTGATTCTGTACTCGGATCGTAGCCCTACTGTACAAATACTTCAGCACTTCGATATACCGACAGTCCACTTGGCACCCTTGAAGGGACTGCAGCACCGCTCAAATTTCGACGCGTTCTCATAGTTAACATACGCAAGATAAAGTGGCAGATTGTACTCTTCAGTCTTCTGTACAATTTACCGAAGGGTATGTATGTGGTATATGGTGCTAAAGCCTTTTCGGAAACCGGCTTGTTCGCAGGGCTGGAAGTCGTCGAATCTGCATGCGAGACGATTCGTAATGACTCTCAAAAACAGCACGTATACTCGGCTCAGAAGGGAAATCGGTCTGAGTTCTTCAAGGGAGCATTGTCGCCTTTCTTGAAGAACAAGACCACCGCACTTCTGCTCCACGCCTCTGGATTAGTGCCACCATGGAAGACGGAATTAAAAAGCTTCTAAAGGACTTTAAGTACCGGTTTTCCACCTGCTTTCAGAAGCTCCGCTGTAATTCCATCCTCGCCCGGGAATATGTCCTTTTTTATTGCTTTTTGCTGTTATCAGAAAGATGCTGCTGCCCATCTTCTGCTTCAGTTTCCCTCTGTCGCCTTTTACGACCTCGGGAAGATATGGGGTAGAGGGCATTCTTACTCGCTACTACACGAGGCCTCATAAAAACATAAATAGCTTTAATAAAAATAAGGATGAACATACTTTAAACACTAGGAACAAACATAAGCTTGTAATGTCACTTACTAGACTCCACAGAATCAGTAATTCATTTATGGGGCAATGTACATACGCTTTTACAACAAAATACCAGAACATGTTCAAAGTTTGTCAGTAAACAAGTTTAAAAGTTTTATTAAATAAAAACTGTACAAAAAGGGTTATTATAATATCAAGGAATACATGAATGAAAATAGCCCGTGGGAATGAGGTGATCGCCACCATGATTGTTCTATAAAAATTCATTTAAAAATTGTACAAACAAAGTTATTGTAAAGTGAAATATGTTTTAGAAAAAGTCGCGCTGCGTTTCTTGCTTGTTCTTCCCAGGACAGAGGTATTTTTCGAACCAGTGGTATATAAAAAATTACTTTCAATAAATATTATGTAGTAATCCATATTGAATAAAAAATCATTCTGTTCTATTCTATTCTATACATCAGCAGCGCACACTGCATTTTCACATGTTAATGTGTGAAGAAAAAGATTTGGGTTTCTGCTTCGTTAGTCCCTGCTACATTAACATTTTTAACCGAGAAGGTTTTCTATATTCGACTCATACGTTCTTTTGTGTGTGTTTACCGATTTCTCGGCAACGACTTTTATAGTAGTCCCTTACAAATTTTAACAAAACATTTCACCCCTACCGGTGCAAAGTATGGGATGAAATTTTTAATGTTACTATTTGAACGACATTCTAGTAGTTACCCTGAATTTGTGATATTCCTTATTCCACTCAAGAAATGTAATAAATAAAACTTAAAATTAAAAAAAAAAACAATAAAACCGACTTCAAAACCAAAAAAAGTATTATCATAATTTCCACACGATATCATGTGAAATGTTTCGATTTAGCCTCTGGTTTTTGGGGCTTTATTTGTTTGGATTTAATTTATTTTTTTCTATGCTATGCCTTAACAAAGACTTCAGAAGCTATTATATGGAAATTATTTTATTCTTTTATGTTTTTAAAGTCAGTTTTAAGTGTTTTTAAAAGATTTAATTATATTATATACCTAAATTTCTAGTTATCATTATTTTTTACGAAAACTGATTAATAATAAGATTAAAAAGCCATATTTGTACAAAATTCAAATTCGCTTAAATATTTGTTTTTCCATTAATTACAACCTACCAAAGTCAACTGCTGAACATAGGCCTCCCCGATAGATTGCGTCATAGGGGAGATATTTTACAGCACCTGTTTAAAGAACTAGAAAGAGACCATAAAGGTAAGCAAATGAATCGATCTTCATCCACAGGAAATTTAAGTCGTTGCGAGTACTACTTATCTTATCGTTTTTCTTAATACGAATATATTTTATTACCCCTACTACTTAATAGAATTCTTAAGGTAAAAATAAAATTTTGAGTAAAAAAAATCTTCCTTAGAAATTTTTTTTGAATTTTTCGCGTTCAAATGTTTTCATTTCATAAATTATCCATGTGAGCAGCGAACAGTATGCTTTTTATCGGATCCTGCTAAACACTAGCTACTGGTATCATATCAATTTGATCAACAAAAATACTTGTAAAATATTTACTTACCGCTGTCATTATTAGGTGATCCATAAGCATCTGGACCTAAGCTAGATAAATCTATACCGTCGTCTCCTCCGTCTATGCTATTGAGATCTAAATCATCTGGATTCAAAATATCTATATCCTTATCATCTACCGGCAAAAGGTCGGAACCGGATATTAATAAAAACAATATAGAGAAACACAGATATCGCATTGTGAACTTAGGTTAATAAAATTAAACCAAAAATAAATTAAAAACGCTAAAAATTTTAGCACATGAGTACTAGGCAGTCAGAAAGCACTTGAACGTCTGTGACAAGAAACATCGAACGTGTACCTTATATAGGAAACGTGAGGACCTGTCATAGGGTAAACACACATAACAAAGATTATTGCCGACAAGGTTCGTTTACTCCAACTTCCTGATACAGGATGTACTAACTGAAATTTAAGTGAATCGATAACGCAAGCCTTGGCGTTTCAGTACTTTCGTTTCTTTTATCATGATGTTTATTCGCTCTGATATTTCACTAAAACGCAAAATCATGTAGGTTTTCTGTTATTTAACTGATGACTGTATCATTGTTTGGTTTGACAACCATACATTTGTTTTAATTTTACCAAGTACAATTACAAAAATTTTACTTTGGCGTAACAGACACATTATTAATAAATATAAATATAATATATAATACAATGTAAATAAGCCATTTAAAATAATCATAGCTTTGTTTAAATTATAAGACAGACATCTTGTAAGTAGTATATTTTATTCAGACATACTGCACTGGCACCTAGCGTGGCAATCTTCGATCACTAATAAAAAAAAAACTAGATACACAATCCCATGAAAAAGTTCTCTAAAAACCGTCGTCAATTATTTTGACGTAATTCTAACTAAATTAAATATACATTAATGTAAATTCAACCTTAAATGCATCACTTAAAATTGTATTCACAAAGCAACGTACAAATTAAAAGCGCACCGAAATGTTCGGGTGGGCGCTCATTCGGTAAGGACATTTTTGTCACTGATTGTATATCTAGTTTTTATTAGTGATCGATGGTGGCAAACGAAAAAAAATCCCCGTGTAAGCCTATTTTTTTTTTATAAAACTAAAGTGACAAACGAAGTTACAGCGGCAACCAACTTAAAACAATTAAAGCTACAGATGCGTTGTCACCTTTGAGGACTATGTTGGAATGCTTGCAGCAGTGCACACTACTGTTTGGCGGTAGTAACAGGTAAGTGGGTGGTTCATACCCAGACGGGCTCCTCGGCAGAAAAGGAGGACTACCACCTAGTGGAAGAGTCCTATATTAGGCAGTGATATATTTTTTTTTATAGAAGAGGGGACCAACGAGCATGCGGCTCACCTGATGGTAAGTGACTACCGCCGCCCATGAACAACCGCAACACCAGGGGAATTGCAGATGCGTTGCCGGCCTATATGTACATATATGAGGCAATGATTTTATCTATACTATACAAAAGAATAAAATTGAAGTGTCTGTTTGTAATGTCAAAATTACAGCGTTTTACTAAATTCATAACAAAAATACAATTTTAAATTTAATTTAAATTTTTGACTGTCTGTCTGTTTGGTTGTTTGTTCCGGCTAATCTCCGAAAGGACTGGACTGATTTTGACGGTACTTTCACTGGCATATAGCTGATGTCATAAGGAGTAACTTAGCCTACTTTTATTATAGAAAAATAATTAGGGTTCCTTGCAGAAAAACTTAAACCCCTAAATTGCACGCGGGCGAAGTCGTAGAAGAAGTATAATAATAATAATAATGTCCTCCAGACCAAATTTCGGTCACGACATCCAGCCTCAACGGAGACTAGTCATCGTCGCAGGACAGGATTATCGCACAGGTGCACTGTGCACTCTCTATTCCCTCACTCTCATAGTCCGATGGGACGGTAAACCGACACGACCAGAGAGAGATCAGGCGCAGGACCGACGGCTTTACGTGCTTTCCGAAGCACGGGGATGAGACACCGCCAACTTCCTGACTCCGGGCAACTACTGAGAATTTATTGACCGAAAAACTCAATAACTGATTTTTTTGGCCTGACCCGGGATTCGAACCCACGACCTCATCAGTCGAACCACTACAACCAGCCAACGAGGCAGTCCTATATATTATCCACTAACTACATCAATGTATTAGTGACTGAAATTAGCATTGATGATATGAACTATATTAAGAGTACTGACTGACGGTGACGCGGCCGCACCGTTGATGCGGTGGTGGTGGGACCGCGGGGGGAGAGGAGTCCGACATTTCCCCTTGTATAAAAAAAGGCGGCCCCCTACTAGGTGGAATGACAACCTGGTAAGGAAGAAGAAGTCAATGTATGCACGTGACTCTGGACCGCGTTTTGTGGTCTTGCGAAGGGCTGTAATGATGACGATGATGATGATTTTAAAATAATGATTCTGGCTAATATTAAACATAAAGTATCGGGGTAATTTAGGAAGGTAATGCAATAAATTTTCGACGAGCGTTTACATAGAACAATGTTTTCTCCGTATATAGATAAGTGTAGGTAACACTTTGACAGGCGTAAGAATAATACCTGGTATGTATTTCAAACACTAGGCACATTCGTAAGTTACTCCTTACTCTGTGACTAATGCACGGAGGGCGGTCAAATTAGAATAGTCTCCGATAACGATAAACTTTTTTAGTTGTGATCATATCCTAGACGGCCCCCGCCGCAGTAGATTTGATGAACCACAAATTCTCGCGAAAGAACATCGATTCCTGCCAAGGATGATACGTGAGGCTATTGAAATTAAAAAACATCCTAATTTCAATAGAGAGGGAGGCTGGGTAATACCACCTGCTTGGGATCCTGTAATTCATAAAATTAAAACTAAACCCAAGCATACCACTGCAAGACTTCAAGACACAGTTAGTTCATTCTGCGTAGATCGGACCAAAATTATTAATTAAAAAAGCTGAAGGTACTCCGGTTTAACACTGACATCGGGACGTCAATCACCTCAGTCCCCCGTGACCATGGTTGCTGGAAAGCAACCGAAACGTCGGGAATATAAAATAAGTTAATTAAACGCGATAAAATCCGTAAAAATAGTTTTATTCAATGTGTTCGCGTAAATATAAGAAATCATTATGTAAACTTTTTTAGTTTAAACTGGGAAATATTTACTCAAAATATTATATTACTGACTTAAAGCATGTATTATTACATTAGTTTATTTATTAATTTACACTTTATTGTTTACCAAACTTTGAGAAAAACCATTACAAATGACGAGCTCGACTTTTGACATTTTCTCCGACTGTCACGAAAATTTTCTCGCGAATAAACCAACCTACTGCCAGATAGACCGGGGAGGAATCACGCTTTCACAGAATACCAGCGTAAAATAGCAACTTAATGCTGTTGTGTTTTGTATGACAAATGCAAGGAACCGGATACCCTTTTTGTGGTGACAACAAGGTAAAGCCACGCGGCAGCTTTTGCTGTCGCACGGATGGGCCGGCTCGAACAGGGGTGGTACCACGACCCCACAGAATACCAGCGTGAAGTAGAGGTTTACCTTTGCGTTTCGCTTGGTGAGTGCAGGTGGCCGGAGGCCCTTTTTACTGGAAATGAGGCATTCCATCTTAGTCCTCACGGGTGACAACGCATCTGCATTTTGATTTGCAAACGAGGATAGATGTAGATGTCTATGGGCCTCAGCATTCATTTACCATCAGGTGGACTGTGTTCTCTTTTGTCACTCTTATCCTTTAAAAGAACGAAATTGGTATAATGTACTTATTTTACTTATATAATAAGACGATGATCGAAGAGTTCAGTCATACATTGAGTTGAAACCTTACCGTGTAGTGGCGGTGTAGGAATATCCACTACCCCATATCGTTCCGTGGATGTCGTAAGTAGCGACAGAGGGAAACTGATACAGGAAATATTCCTGAAAACAACTTAAAATAATATAAACTACAGTTTCTAACCCGTGCGCCAAGCGTGGCAACTATGGCAAAATCCCACGATGAGACAATCATAACGGCAATTGTTGAAAAGGATCCTATACAAAAAAAGGAGAGTTTTAGCTTGTAAGGAAGTTTAAGTTAATTTAAGGTTAAATTGAAACCATATAGTTATTCTTTAGTGTTTATATTTTAAATAGTTCTTTATTTAAAATTACTTAAACTTTTTTTATAGGACAAACGAACACACAGACCATCTGATTGTAAATGGTTGCTGTGACCCATAGACAATCTACATTTATCCTCAATAAACAATCAAAATGCAGATGCGTCGTCACCCGTGAGGACTAAGATGGAATGCCTGTTTTCCAGTAAAAATGGTCTCCGGTTCTCTACACTCACCATACGAAACACAGTGCTAAGCTGCTATTTTACGCTGGTATTCTACTTACTGCTAAATAAAAATTAACTATTACTTTATTACACGTATAAATATGTTTTGGTATAAATTTATTAATGAAAATGTTTTAAGTTACTGAATCGGTCTTATAACGTAATTACTGAACAGTTTATGAAACAAAGATAAGATAAGTTACGTCTTTATTACATTATTTTTGCAACTATTGTAATCTTATCTAACCGTATTTCACTATCATCCGGAAGATTCCACTCCCATCAACATGCAGCCTCGGTCATTGAAAAACATAGGTAGATATGCAAAAATTCTTGTTCAGCACTTCGTTACTTTTTTTTACTAATTTTAATAAAATTATATTACTAATTTTAATAGCCGTGGTAGCTCGTGGGGCTTAAACGTTCGCTGCAACCCGGGTTCAATCCCCGACGGCACCAATGAAATTGTTGCGTTGTAGGAAAACATCGTGAGGAAACCAGCTTGTCTGAGAAATAAGAAAAAAATATATTTCGAAGACACCTGCAGTTCGCCAACACGCCAATGACTAAACTAACTAAAACCCTCTCAGACGTGAGAGGAGGCCTGTGCCCAGCAGTGGGATGTAAATAGGCTGTAACTTTAACATTTTAACTTTTTTTTTTAAATAAAATATCAAAGTATTTAGATATTTATTAGTGCAACAAAAATTGTGTTATTACAAGAAAATTTGATTTAATTAAATTACTTGATATAAAATCCTTACTAATACATATTATAAATGCGAATGCGAAAATCTATCTTATCGACATTCTAGTTGTTTATTTATTTATTCCTTAACTAGCTGTC